AGAGGAAAAAGTTCGTTTTTCCCATTACATCTAATGGGAAACGAACTTTTTCCCATACCTAATACATCTTTAAAAATGAAAAAAGGAGATAATGAAATTTTGATCAAATAAATATCTATTATATTTTAAAATCAAAATTAAAATAAGCTCAAATAATTAAATTTAACAACATAAATAATGTCAATAATGAGCCAAGGATATTCGAGTGTAAATTACAACATCATTTATTAAGCAAATAAACGTATACATTTCAAACGTTGCATTAATAACGCAAAAATTAATAACAAATTAATAATGCAAAAATCAAAAATAAATTATTCGGAAAAAACCGCATTAAAGAGAGAATGCTCTACACGAGTTAATGATTAAAACTATTAGATGTCCAATACTTGTTAAAACTTGGTCATCAAATTGTCCGATTTGCTACATAAGAAATACAATCATTTTTTTATTATGTCGGAGAATCACGATTTTATGAAAAATAATAATAATTTATTATACATGAAGTCAAACAAATTGTCGAAACTATGAATAATTATATTGTTATTAAATTGTTCGATTCATTTTTTAAAATAAAAATAATGTGAAAAAATTGTCAATACTAACATTTAAAAAAAAAACATTTTTTAATAAATTATTTAATAAATCAAAACAATATGTCAAAAGGCTCAATAAAATTAAATAACAATATAAAAAAGGGCTACAAACCTAATATAAATTTTTTTCTTTTTTTATATAAACTTTTTTTATATAATAATAACGTCTAATAATAACGTGTCATTTAAACTTTGTTTCTATTTCTTTATATAAATCATCTCTGATAATAATTTATTATTTAACATTCTTCAATTAATATTTTAACATTGTCCCAATCAAAATCATGAGATAATTCAATTCTATGATATGTAAGAACAAAGATTGAGTCATGTTCTTATTAATATTTTTCTGTGTTGAAAGATGTGTGTTTTTAAATATCTGCTCGTTTGATCGATGTATGACACGTCACAATTCTTACAATCGATTTTATAAATCACGTTGAAATAAGATAACGTTGGCAGAATATCTTTTTGTACCTTAATAAAACTATTTAATTTATTAATATCTCTATATGCCATACATACTAAAGAAACATTGTTAACGAACAAGAAGTAGAGAATACCAAGGACGGATTAAGAATGCAGTGTTGTCATTGGTACACAAAATAAAGAATTATGTTCTTTGTTATTTTTATTCTATTAAACAAAATTACATGAACATTTCGACTCACTTTGGAGTCTTCTTCAGCAAATTACAACAATTACTTCAGCAAATTATTAACAAAATTCCTAATTTTGTCAGATGTCAGGGAATGAAAAAACATTGTTTTTTGTTCACTTTCACAAAGTCTGTTCACTATGTTCCTGACATTCAGACACTGTGATTTAATTGATCAAACTTTTTATAGAGACTTCTTTATTGAAAAGATTAAACTCAAAGGATAATCATTGTTTAGAATCTTAATGATATTATCAAAATTATTATAATGAAAAGAATGTGATAATATCCTATTAATTAGACTGATTATTGTACCTATCTTTTAAGAAAGGGGATGAAAAAGGGGCAAAAAAAATAATTCAAAAATCAACCTGAAAATGTAAGTTTATGATATCAAAATAAAAAAATGAGAGAAAATCCCCTTCTTAATCAAGCAAACATCCAAAAAATTCAATGTATTGCTCCCAAAATTCCATAGTGAATCTTAATCTCAGATGATAAAAATTATAAAAGTATTTAGAATGTATTTAGATTTCATCAATATTCAAGATATCAAGAACTAAAACAATGTTCATCACATATCTTCCATAAAAAAAGAGGACAATCACTGATAATTTTTTTAGCGAACACAACTCTAAATCTTACATAATATTAGACATTAAGGGAGATAATGGTGAACCCAGGTAATCCAAAAATCTTATTTATAAAATTTTTTATTAAACACAAAGAACGTAGAATTAAAAACTAATCTTAATGCTTTAAAAAATTCCATTTTTGGAATGTCTCAAGTATTCCTCTCAATAAGACACTACTACTTGAGATATTTTCTAAAACTAAGTTGATAATTGGTATATTATTAAATAGCGAGACTACGTCCAAAAATAAAAGTACAATATTGTCAGATATAATCAATTTAGAAATGTTTTTTCAGTCAGAATTTTTAGTTAGATAATAACTACCATAGCATTTTTAGCGATAAACTTTTATTAATATATTTATGTAAAATATATTTATGTAAAAATGAAGTCAAATTGTGAATGAGGCTGCCAATCGACGATATGCCAATCGACGCAATGACACATAATGGATTATCCGTCTTATGCATTTTCGTTAGACCATATTATATTTTAACTTAATTTATATAGACGAAACTCGACGTATCTATAAACACTTCCGATGAGATTAATAAAATGGATAATTAATATGCGTAATTAATAACAAATTAAGATAAGAATTTAATTAAAAGGCTTTACACTTGTTTTCATGTAATTTAATTTTGATATTGTTAAATTAATAATTACGAATCAAGAATAAAAACGTCAATTAGACATTAACACATTTTAAACACAGTGTTTTAATATAAAGATTTAAGATTGTGTTTATAATTAGAATAAAATAATTGAATGTAGAAAAAATCAAACGTTACCGAAAGATTATCTTGAAAAAGCAATATTTATAACTTGGTTTTTCGCATTTGATTATTTTCTTCCAATCGATATACTCGTTACATTAAAACGCTGTATTTAATGTGGTAATTTCTATAATCTGATGTTTCTATTATTAATTCATAAGTTATGGAAGAAATGAAAGAACTACAACTGTTTCGAACAATATTAAATGCTCGTAATGTTTGGTTTTTCCGCGATTAAAGTCATTATGTTGCAAGATTGGCATGACACATATTTATGTCTTTAATTTAATTATAAATCAAATACAGAAATAAGCGCAAGCGTGTCATCCCAAACAATACGAAGTCGACTATAAGTTGACCGAATGTCGACTAATAGTCGACTAATACTTGACAAATGTCTCAAAAAAAATCGACTAACAGTCGGCATTCTAATATCGATTTACGTCAATTAAGAACAATCGACTTTAAGTTAACAGGCGACTATGCCAACTGGAAAAAAGTCGATTATAAGACGACAAATAGTCATTCGTGTTGTTTGGGATAACAGACAGCGCACTAGTCTATCATGTCAGAGATCTCGGATTCGATCGCAGTACTTATCCTAGTAGAAAATTTTTATATTCGAGTCTCCTCTCGGAAAAGACCGGCAATCTCCCGAGAATATCCTTGCCCACAGAAACACTTTCGGAACCAGCATTAAAACTGTAGATCCCATATGCTTGTGGCATTGAATAATCAGCGTGTGCGCCACAAGCATATGAGAAAGGTGTAACACAGGCTAGAGGCCTAATGTAAGAAGAAAAAGAAATACAGATTTAATTTGTGAAGATTCAAATAATGAAAATACAATATTTAAAAAAAAGATCATAAATTGCCTTTATTTATAAATAATTGCAACACATACCTAATATATCTAAAATATTAAAACAATTTAGTGTAATTTATCCATTTTTAAACCGCATAATTTTTTAGAATACAAACATATCTATGTAACTTTATATATAAAACATCATTATGTATTAAATGTGCTTTGCGAGTTCTAAAATAAAAATTTTATGTTCAATATACTGTACAATATAAATTATTATATGTATAACAATATAATAAAATAACAAAAAAATATAAAATTGATATAACAGTATAAAATATAAAATTGGCATGCTGAATCTTCTATTGTTTTAAGAACATTTTCTAATAGAATTTTATTTCTAATGGAATTATATAGATTTAATCCTTTTTAATTCTTTAAATAAAACAGTAATTTAAAAATAATTGAATTTCGATTAATTTTTTTATATTACTTTAAATTTCAATTTGTTTTTTACAAAAATTAAAGAATTTTTTCCAACTTTTTAATACATTTTGACATGAACATACACAGGAATGTATAATGTGTAGCATTGTGCACGACTAACTGGAATTAAATGCATCAAATTACGCACACGATTTCGCACGCGCGGATAAAGTTTCATTTTTTAATATCATACCATCTTTTTAATCCGTAATAGTAATGAAAACCAATGTTTCCCTCTCTTCCGCATTTTCTTCTTTTATTTATATAATGGCCACTGTTATCCAAACAGAATGATTCCAAAATGATCACTAACAATCATTTTTTTTAATCATTTCCGATTCATTTTAATATCACTTTGACATTATCATGACTTGTTGTTCTGCTTGAGGTAGTAACTATTCAATCATTAGAAAATACAAGTTTACACAGCCGACGGACTGAGTATGGGTAGTGCTGTGATGATGATTACAGCAATTGGAACACAATTTGTACCACTGTATGCATAAAAGGGATATATTGCAATTGAAAAGCATCCAAAGTAAATAAATAGAAATAAAACATAGATGGGATGAATCCAAACTTCAAATCAGTTTCAATTTTCAATAAAATCTCCTGATAAATATTCTCTGCAAAATATTAAGTAAAATTGCATGAGAAATCAGTGTTATGTTTTTTTATAAATAAAAATAGTTTTTTATTGAATAATATAAAAGATAAAATAATTTCACTAAAAATGAAACAACTATTCTACGCAAAAAAATATCTTATTAAAATTATTTCTAAAACAAATTTATATTAACAGCAAACAAAAATTAATTAATCGGTTTTTTTTAAAGATCTACCAATTGCATAATCATTTCTCATGTTTCTCGCAATAGAGATTCCATTTTTAAAAATGCACAACAAAACATTAGAACACAATACAAAGCAGTTTTAATTTTAATAAGTCATGCTATAAAAAAATTAAAAAAAAATTTTAAAGATACTGATTAGTACGCTAGATAAACTATGAAACGGGGAATCGATTTCTCTTTTTGGGATTTACGGTAACCTGGGAGACTCTGGTAGCATATGTCACGTTTGCCATTGTCTCTTCCACAATGACAGTATGATACCTCCAAAATTACTACTGATCAAATACGCCCCACCATCACTGTTAACCGCAACCTCCTATCGAACAACCTATCGATGTTTTGTTCGATTTTCCTTGATTTACTTATTGCTTGATTCAGTCATATCTATCTTTTTTTTGTTATAAGAAGCATTGTCTGTAGTTCGATATGCTCTCGCAGGAAGCGGCAAGACTGTGTCGCCCACAGTCAAGGATCCTTGACTGAAAACCTGCGTCTCTTTTGATATTCCTCTGGGCGAAGTTGTCTCGCGGCTATTCCGCATTCTGTTAATCGGCAGGCGTCCTCTAATCATCTTGTACCATCTTCTCTGACGTTTCGCGAGGGGACTTCTTGTGTCCAGTGAAAATTCAGTTGGATCTTCCTTCAAGAACACTTCGGTCTCACGGGACCGTTTACCAAGACGAACTTGGCTATTGCTGGCATCGCTGGATAATTTCGGCGAGGTTGACAATTTCTCGACGATCTCTCGTCGTTGGACTACTTCAGTTGCTTCAATGCTTTTCGGTACTCTCAAACCCAGAACTGAAATTTCGAAAAAAGCTAAAAGTTAAAGTTATTGCGCGCGAACGTGACATCTTATCTTTCAATTGCTTAAATAGTTCATTTGTAAATGATTTTGAAAATTTAACTGACCAGATAGATTTTTTAAGGCGTGCTTTACAGCTTGCGCGACGGATGACAGAAATCCACCATTATTACTATTTTCGCTGCTTTCTACGGGAGAAGACAATGCAAACTGTCCTTTCCCTGCATTGTCCGCAGAATAATTCTCTACAGACTCTACACTCTCGACACTCATCTTCATCGTCGTAATAGATCTTCTACAAATCTTAGTAGATTCAGCCGTATTCAGAGACTGACGATTTGATACAAGTTGTTCTTGCAATTTCTGTAGACCTGAACTGATCAAAGGCATCAACTCGGTGGTCAATCCTCCTGAATTGCTCTCCATCAGCACCATCATCAACACTCTGTTAGAATCTTGATTTATAATCGACCAACCATTGTTTACTTCATTGTTTACATCAGCATTTTGATTCTCCTTCTTTATATTTTTCGTGTTGTCCTGCACAATCCCGATTTGCGAATTGTTTAAAAAATTTTCCGGGGGTTGTATTAAAGAACGCGTTGTATCTTCAGCTTGGTTGTCATTCGTGACCTTCAGAGTGTTCGTGTTTTCTATGCTGTTCATTTGCATTCTCTTATTTGCGTCTTTAATATCTTCTGCTGCAGCAGCCCTCTTTTGCGCGTCATGAGACTCATTCTCCTCCATCGACATGTTGAGAATAGTTCGCACACAGGACTCCATCAAGTCCCCAAACTCCGCCGCGGTTTCATATCGATCGGAGAATCTTACCTTCTTCATGACATCCTCACAAACATCATCTGACATAGGCGAGTCCTGCAGGATGCCACCCTCGGTCCGCGTCAAGTCCATATTTACAGGAGACAACACTTCATTTACATTCGCAGTTATTATCTTAGTATCGTTGTTTGTAATTTTTTCTTGCTCTACTTCCATAATGCTCAGTCTATTGCCTGAATTATTCCTAGCGAATTGTTCCATGACGCTCGGTCTACTGCCTGAATTACTTTTAGCGAATTGTTCTTCTTTGCAGATCCTAAAAGGCGTCGTCTCTTCGTTTGAGCTGTACAGCAGACAACTAAAGAATTGCGAATCGCTCGTCTGCGTCTTCGAAATCGCGACCTGTGCGATCGACGACGAGTCCGTCTTAGGCGTTTTAAAACTGAAATCCGGTACGGAGAATGTCTCAAAGCCAGTCTTTTGACCAAGAAGCATTGGTGTGCTGGTCTTGCGATAGATTTCCGGCGGCGTGCAAAATCTACTGCCGTTACAGTCGCTTTCGCTTATAGAAGACTGTTTTGATTTCTTCTCGAGCTGCTCGTGGCTGGATGGTGATGTTAGACAATTCCAACGTTCAAACCACTTGCACGCACCTAAAGTTTCATTTAAAAATGTGAAATTTAATATAAAAAATACTCAACATTGAATATAAAAAGTCTATTTACAGATTTCAAAAATTTACACGTTACATATCATTTAGAAAATGTTACAATAAAGAATTTTTACTTTATTACTTATAAACTTTTACATTTTAAACTTAAACATTTTAATTTTGACTTTCTATATTATAATCTTTTTCGTGCTATTTTCGATGCTAAGTAACAAAACTTTTAAATAGACTTTAAAATAGAGACAAAACTTTACAAATAAAAATAAAATTTTATAAAATAGATAAAAAAATATCATGTATTTGATAGTCATTTCTTTCTATATATTTCTAACAGACCGTAATATTTATTGTCTAATAAAAGAATGAAAGAGAAATTATATTAAATTCTTTATGTGATACTGAAGTATCACATAATATATGTGTATTTTATATAATAATAATAATTAAATATTTTCTGAAGGTAATAAGCGCCTAAATTGATAGAATTTTAATGAAATTTGTCCTTAAAAATTTGACTTTAAAACTCAATCATGGCTGCGCTCGACTTTCGCAATCCTTGCGAAAATCTTTTGTCCTTGTTTCATATTTGATAAATAACAAGAGTGAAATGACTTCACGTGTTGTGAGTTAAATGGAACCCATGGATGATATCTTTATTTTTGCAAATAACTGTTTGGATCTTATTATTAATTCACTTCGTAAATTACCAACGGACTTGAAATCTTCTCTGGATTCAAACAAATCACCGCACAGCCGGCAACGTAATGGCAAATGTTTGTCAACTATGTGACACAATAATTTCTCATCCTCCAAGTTCAGTTTCGTGGACTCACACTGTCGTATCGGCAATATTTCAGAGGCGCAGAGGGGACAATCGGTGTTCACATTGGGATGCACCTTGTCCACGTGGCGATCGCGACATTTTGTGCAGCAAAATATTTTCTTGCAGAATCGACAAGCTGCGTTTGCCTGTCCGAATTGAAAAATTTTTGGAAATCGATATATAGCGCTTTTAGTAAATACTTTGTCTTTCAACATATCGAGATGTAATTGCTAAAACGATCAAATGTTTACTAATTGTTCAACGGCAAATAATTCGTCAATACATTCATAGGATAATAACAATGTAAACGAATATGTGTGAGTATATATTGTAGATATAAAAATAAACAAAAATCAAGGTCTATAATTTGTAGCATTTATAATAGATTATACGTATTTTCTATATTCAATAGATTTCTATTATATATTTTTAATTTATATTTATAATTGCAAATTGAAAGAAAAACTTAGAATAAAATAATTAAAAATTATATTTGTTTTTTTTTGTTTAAATTTATAAAAAGATCTAAATAATTTTTTAGACAAATAAAAAAATAAAGA